TTTTAAAATTGAATTGATATTTTTGAGTATTTTAAAAAATATGGGGGGGGGAAAACAGTAAACCAACAAGGAAAATTTTTAAAAAGTCCCTGATTTTTAGTTGAACATGCACTTCTGGTTGCAATGCTGTCACAACCTGTCAAACATTCTATTTTAGTCCAATCACTGATTAACTTCCAGTTATTTTCTCCTGTATAATATATAGAATATGTACTGAAAAGTGGTGAAGAGTGCAGTAGTCCACATGTATTTTTATTGCAAGTTTCTATATTTACAGGTCACTGAAGTGAGACCAGAGTCTCCATCAGCGACCTGAAGCTGTTTCTCATCAGTGCAACATCGCCCCCTGCTGGTCAATACAAGTCTGAACATTACTGACGGTCCAAACAACCCTTTAATGTGTATTAAATCAAACACAATACCGAGAGATTTGCTCTGCACGAAGCTTTTTCTTTTTTTTTTCTTTTTTATAAAAGCCAGCTCCACATAAACTGAGTCTGTGGTTTCATCTGGTGTCACTGAGTTCAGTCCGGTTACAGATCAGACTCCACTTCGCACCACGTTTGTCTTCACTGAAGAAAATAACCCGCAAACAAGAGAAAAACCTAGAGCGCACTGACTTCCACTTCCTCATCCTCTTAGTTGTCATACCTTCATAAGTATATATCATTTATTTTCCCCCCACAGAGCTGGGAGGCTCTTGCAGGAGACGACAGGTGTCACTGTATCCTTGCGCTTTGTCTGCGCCCTCATGCATCCAGCAGCGCCACGACGCACTGTTTACCCAAAAACAGTCAGTCGGTCCGCTGGATGGAGGACAGACGCTGTTATCAGGCTGATATGAGCCCTGTGTGTGTGTGTGTGTGTGTGTGTGTGTGTGTGTGTGTGTGTGTGTGTGTTTCACAGGTGGGCGCTTTGAATATTCACTCACCTCCAGTTAAAAGCCTTCCTCACATTTGTCACCTAGTTTGGTGCTTTACGGCTCCAACAGGTGATCATTAGCGAAGGACGGAGAATATCTAATAACCCACTAAGAAGCATTTTCTGCAAGATTACATAATTGTCGGCGGAACAGGTGACTCAGGTACATGTCACACACGAAAGAAAAGCTGCACTGATAGTAGCAAAAGCACATTTGAAGTGAGAAGTTTTATAGAGAGATGAATGACAATTGTTGAGCAGTTTAGTCTGTATTGGAAATATTATTTTCAAGGGCATAATCTTCTGTCTGGCGTGAGGCGATGCAGGTTTATCTGAGCTGCAATAAAGTTCACCTCCATAACTCTGGTCTCATTGCACAAATAAAACACTGAAATGTAATTTGGTGCTTAATGGCACGTTTGTCTTCATAAAAATGTCTCTGATGAAGCTCAGCATTGGTCCAGAGACGCTTCAATACAAATATTTCCTGGTATCTATGGAGCAGCTGACCTGCTGGATGTGAAGAGGAACACAGAACAAAAGAGCACGGGCGTGAATGAAGAGTCGTTTATTGGACAGACGTCTGCATGCTGGAGTGACATGATGTATACTGACAAAGAGGCTTTTAAGCTGTCTTTATTTTCCTTATAATATATATTAAATTAAATTGGCTTCTCGGGAAAAAAAAAAAATTCCAGGAGAATATTTTAGAAATTGCAATAAAGCATTCTCAAACTGGAAGTACAAATATTGTATTCAACAATAAATTAAAAAAAAAAAAAAAACTTCAGAGTGCAAGACACATAATCAAGGTCTAACAAACAGAAAATGTGAAATAAATGAATGTGCTCCTCAGCTTTTCAATTAGATTTGAGAAGAAAAAAAAAATCTTTTACCAGAAAAAAATACAGATTGGGAGTGTGAAGACGGTTTTTCATCCCGATTTGCAATCTTGAGCACATCATTCATTCACAAGTAGAACATAAAACACCTGCAATAACGACCAACAAGTTACATTTTGAAACTTTATTAAGGAACTGGCAGCAACACAACATGTGTGAGAGGAATTGGCAGCACCAATCACAACCAGAGTCGAGATCTTTACAACACTTTCTTCCAGTGGGTACACCGTATCCTCCTACAGCTCTTCATGAGTTTTCTTCTTTCACGCTGCCGCTCCTGGAGTGATTTTAAATTTACCACAAAAGTGGAACACAAGAAGTGCATTAAGCAGCGCTTTTGTTGTCTCCGAGGAGGCTCTGAGAGTTTGGACCTTGATGGATAAAAACCTGAAGAAGTGTCTGATGTGCTGAAAGGATGCAAACTGACTGTGAGTGTAGTCCAGCTGTTAAAGAAAGAGAAATTGCTGAGTAGATTTAGCAAAGGGCTGTTAGTTTTTCTGACTTTTGTGTGGAGTTTGCAGGGGAACATTGGCTTCAGAGGAACAAATTAAAGTTGGAAAGTTGTGTTAAAGTTATGAAAACATGCTTCTTTCATTTTGGCTGACACTGGTGTTAAAACTCAACCTGCCCATGAGTTAAGATCTCAGTAAAGATGCACAGTTCTGTATCATTTTAGTCACGCTTAGCAGTAACTATTTGACTTTTTTCTTTTTTTTCCTTTTGTAAGTTTTGAAGCCACCCACAGTCTAACACATAGAAAATTCTTGCACACCGTCCTGCTCACTCCTGGTTTATTTCCAAAGTGATTTCATAGGACTGCGTATAAATAACATGCACCATCAGCATTCAAATGATGCTAAAAGTAGTTAAGGTTGGAGTTAAAGTCAAGGAGAAGGTGTTTATTGAGGCTATGTGACAGGAAAAAGCGTCAAAAAGAAAGAAAGAAAAAGCTCCGTGACAACACAAAATGACTTGCTGTGTTACTCATACACTCTATCATGACACTGAGCTGTACTTTCATACAAACTGAATACAAAATATTGGTCTAATAAACCTTTATGGATATGATGGTGGCACCAAAAAAAAAAAAGACTCTTCATAAATGTGTTTATGAAGCTGTTGCATGTTTGCAGTGACCTGCCACATCTCACTTCTGTGGACAAAGTAAACAAGTCGGACACAAAGTTCATATCATCTAATTAAACAGCCCTGAGCAGATTCATCAAAGTGTCAGGTTAAGTTAAACATTTGACATCAAACATCAGTTTAACTGTTGCAAGTACACAATCAAGGGGTTTAACTTAATAAAATCTTGTCACTGCCTCCTAAAAGGCCTCTGTGATCACTGAACTCACCTCCGCACCAAGCCTCCCCAACAAGAGGTTAATATTTGTAAGACTCTGCACACAGAGGACGAGTAGATCCTGCACCTGCCGGTACCGCCGACCCCTAAGTAGCTCATCAGCTCTGTCCTTTTGGACAAACACAGACCTGAGAATCAGTCGGAGGTCTGCTGCTCCTGACAAAAGGTCGGGGACTCCCTCATGTGTTTCGCATTAGGTGTAAAAGGCTACTAAATAAATTAAGTTTGGACAAAGTAATAAAATGCCTCTGTTGATTTCCACATGGTGTGGCTCTGGCTGCAGCTTAGCAACAGAGTCTAGCTGCTGCACTGCAAAAAATGTCCTCCCAACAGGTCCTGGAGTTTACTCTGACTTAATGCTGTTTCTGTGAGGAAAAAGAAAAAAACAAAGTAGATGAGACAAAACCTGCAAACTGGTGCCTTCTTGTTTTAGATCAGTTTTGTTGCTTCAACAGAAAAAAATGGTACAACTTTTACACTTGTGCAACAAAAACAAACAAACAAAAAAAACACTTGCTTTACCATGAATTATCCAGAATTTCATTAAGTATTTGCTAAATCTATATCTTTCTTTTATCATGATTGTGGCATCCTATTGAACACACTGCACAATAAATACAACAAGCAATTTAAATTCTTATCATGCTGGACCACATTATAACTCAGAATTATGTGTCTAATACATGTTTGCAGGAGTAAATTCTGTTATGATGATCATTATTTGTGACGCCTAATTCTTTATTCCTGGTGGTCCTTCCCCTCCTGGAATCCCTTCATCGAGCTTCCTGCCGCTGTTTCTGTCTGCAGTGTCACATGTTGCCAGACAAACACGGCAAACTGTGAGTGTTGACACTCGGCGGACGCACAGTGACCCGGTGTGCGGGACACTTTTTGCAGCGTGCGGGCTATAAAGAGAGGGAGTGGCGCACTGGTGAACACTGAAGAGAGAAACTCCACACGCAGACAGAAGCACGGCAGCGCCCGGGATAACGTGATTAGCGCTCTATTAGGTCCGCTATTGAGCACAACTAGATGCAGTGCAGAGATCATTGTGCGGGGAGAGACAGAGGAAACGCTTCATCCGACACATGGATCTCCTCTGCTGGCCATTGATCTGGCTAAAGAAGTTACCCGCTGACAGTTTTTTAATGCCCGTGCGTCTCTGGCACTGGAGAGGTTGTGTCACTGCTCGCTGCCTCAGGTAAGAATATTTGCTCTTTACAGTGCTTTTTCCCTTATTATTGTCTATGTTCGAATGCTCACTTAACGTCTGAGGTAATTTTATTTGTAATTATGTAAAAGGCATGTCACATAAATACTATTAATATCATTGAAGGGTCTGATTTTTTTCCCTCTTGTTGCTATATTTCCAGATGAACTGACAGCCTTATAAACAACAAGGGCTTAATCCTTGAGGAGCCAGTGCACGATGAAAGGGAAAAATCCGGGAGAGCCTCAGAGGAGTGATTCAGTTCCTTTCTCAGCCCTGCGGTGAGCTGCTGGCTCTGTCCTTCCTGGTGGATGATACTTGTTAACCTCAGGTAAACTCACATAGGAAGTGGGCCAATCTGCTCCAATGGAGCCCAACAACGACACCAACCAGACTTTTGCAAAAGTGGCTCCGTACAGCTGGCAGATATCCCTGCCGCTCACGGTGCTGGTGGGGATCATGATCCTGCTGATAGTGTTTGGTAACGTGCTGGTGGTCATTGCTGTGTTTACAAGTCGGGCGCTGCGAGCTCCACAGAACTTATTTTTGGTGTCTCTGGCATCAGCTGACATTTTGGTGGCGACCCTCGTGATGCCTTTCTCCTTGGCCAATGAGCTCATGGGATACTGGTACTTTGGCGAGGTGTGGTGTGATATATATCTTGCACTTGATGTGCTTTTCTGCACTGCCTCCATCGCCCACCTCTGTGCTATCAGCTTAGACCGTTACTGGTCCATCACACAGGCCATCGAGTACAACCTGAAGAGGACGCCACGACGCATCAAGTGCATCATCGTCATTGTGTGGGTCATTGCGGCGGTTATCTCCTTCCCACCTCTAATCAGCATGGACAAGGGAAACAACAAAGACAACCCTGTGTGTGAGATTAATAATGACAAATGGTACGTCATTTCCTCCTGCATCGGCTCCTTCTTCCTGCCCTGCATCATCATGGTGCTGGTCTATGTGCGAATCTACCAGATCGCCAAAAAGAGGACGCGGGCTCCACCGGGAGACCGGAAGCGGAAGGACCTACCGAAGACGCCCACCATCCATGCCGGCAACCAGAAAGAGAACGGCGTGGGCGACGCTGAGGACCGCTTGTGCCACGAGAAGCTGAACGGTGAACGGGACATCGAGCTGAAGGAGGAAGTAGGAGGAGGAGGAGGGACTGATGAGGAGAAAGGTGAGGTCAACGGGGTGGACATTGAGGAGTCGTCCTCCTCTGACCACAAAGTGAACAATCCATGCTCGATCAAAAAGAAATCGACCAAGAGCAAAACCAAACTGAGTCAAATCAAACCGGGGGACGGCGAGGTCCAAAAGCGGGTGCCGAGCACCAAGTGCAGCCGCTGGAAGGGCCGACAGAACCGGGAGAAACGCTTCACCTTTGTCCTGGCTGTGGTCATTGGAGTGTTTGTCATCTGCTGGTTTCCCTTTTTCTTTACGTACATGCTGACGACACTGTGTCAGTCCTGTCCTGTACCTGACACCCTGTTCAAGTTCTTCTTCTGGTTTGGTTATTGCAACAGTGCACTGAACCCCATCATTTACACCATCTTCAACAATGACTTTAGGAGGTCGTTCAAAAAGATACTGTGCAGGAGGGACACCAGAAGATACGTATGATGGACTCCATCTTTATGTACATACTCCTTTTTTTTTTCTTTTTTTACTATGTTGTACATAAAGTGTAAAACACTCTGACCATTGTGCATGGATCCACCAGCTTGTGAATGCTGTAGGTGTAACTGCTTGTAAAGGCTTTCCCAGGACGAGCTTTACGTGCAGCATCTTCTTTTCAAAACCTCCACCACCCACACTTTCACTACTGACGTCACACAGAGAGAGGTTTCAAGTGCTGAACACCACATGCGAACATGTTTTCATTTGAACTGATATTTTTATGTTTATAAAAGACAGACATATTAAAAGCCCATGATATGTATTGTATTTTACGACAGTATGTTGTACAAAATGACTCCGTCTGTATATTTGTCTCTATTTTTGTTGTTATGGATACATTATTGTGCCATTTTGTATGATATGATAATGATGTTGGTTCGGATGGTGATGGTGGTGTTGACAACATGTGGGGAAAATACAGACTCTTTAAAGAATAAATAAAGCCCATTTCCTGAAATGGCTTCAAGGATCCATATAAAAACAAGACTGGTGACGTCTTCTCATTATGTTTGTTACACTGTGCTGGTACACTCATTTGTATGCACGCACACTTAGAAGCTAGGAAAATGGGAGGGAGATAGAAAAGGCAGCAGCAACTACACAAGAAGAAAAAAAAATCTGGATTTGCTCTCAGAACATGATTACACGTTTAGGGAGGGTTTCCAAATTCTCAGTTTGCTTTAACTTCCACCCATGTGAAGGTGTAAACGGTGGGGCTACACGTGCAGTGAATCAGAGACTCCAGCAGAGCAGTGCAAATTCACTGGTCTGCTGAATTTGACCTTTTCAAGAGATTAACAAGGAGCTTAGGTATTAATGAGCCTGAACAGAACATGTGCAAATGTTCTTTTAGTCCTTGGATTAATCGTGTTTGTGATAAGATGAGGCTCTTTTGTCTAAGATGACAAATCTCACAAAATTAAATTACATTTTTCTTCCCTTCTCCCCCCCCCCCTCTGAGCGTGCGTTTGCTTAGAATTCAGATTTCAGCGTATGAATCAAGTATTCATGATGAATACAGTTGCGACGGGAGGCCCGGGAAGCAGAGAAGTAACGGTTCATTTGCCGTTTTGTGTTACCACCATATGCGTCATTAAGTAAAGACATGGAGCCTGTCAAACCAGAACCTGATTGACTGGTCTCTCTCTCAGACTGTCTCTCGCACTTTTTTTTTTTTTTTTTTTCCAGTGCTCCCTCTATCAAGTCTGGAAGAATAAAACAAAAGAGTGACTATCATGTGTGCACTGAATAAAGAGATTGTAGCTTTCCTCAGCGGACTGAGAAAAAGCAAATGAATTCTTTTGACAGTCAGGAGAGCAGCTGAACAGCAGAATCCACAGAAAGCTAAATGGTTCTTCCGGGAGTTTTTTTCCTGACAGTAGATCCAGCACCTCATCCAGCAGAATCGGACGCGTACTCGCAGTCATCTAGCCGAGTGTTTCTCTGCACGTTCACAAAATGTGAGCAAGTGCGGAGTGTCTGTGAGAAAGAGTGCGTGCATGTGTGGGAGAATGTCCATGTGTACTTGCAGCACATATAAACAGGGGGTGAGCTCCCACTGGACAGACAAGTTTGCAGTCATGCTGATACTCCGCGTTTCAAATTTGAATAAGAAGCGTGTGTCTCATAAGCTGCTTTTCCATCAAAAGTTCTCAGTGGCTTTCATTTTCCAAGAACTAATGTCCAGGAACTTTGCCCCGGGGTGATGGTTCCTGCAGCGCATTGTGATTTGTGTTTCCAGAGTCGTATCAAAAGCATGTGGGTGTTTTTTTTTTTTTTAAATGCTCCGTGTGTAAGAATGCTGTGGATTACCCAGAAATTAATTTAGATCCTGGTTCCACAGGTGAAAACCTGTTTAATAAAAGGTGTGAACAGTGAAGCCAGTGTGCAATAGCCTTAAACCTGCATTCTTTCCAACAGCCAGCAGGGGGCGACTCTTCTGGGTGCAAAAAGAAATTTGATTGTAATGAAATTTGGCAGAAAATGACCCGACTACTCTCCTGATTTGTTATGACAGCAAAAATTTTCCTAATGAGATCCTGGTCTCAACTGCTAGTTTCAAGTCTCTTTCAATACAGCATGATGTTCAGTTTGTAAATTAGGGTCC